TCCCGTAATTTCCAACGAGCTGAAATAGCGTTCGTCCTAAAACTTAATTAGCGTTCGTCCTAAATTTCAGTAAATTCACGTACCGCGTTCGGTTATTTACTGGCAGTCGGTTATTCTAACTAAATTGTACTTAGTACATTTAGTACTCGTTGTTGGTATCTTCATTCAGTTGAATTGACTCTGAATCTTGGTCTTTGAATTATTCTAAGTATAAGTTGAATCGTTCTAGAGTCAGTTCATTTAACTGATTCAAATTGTAATGACATTCGTCATGAAAGATGGGCCAGCTTTATCCCTTCAGAAAAGAAGTTCTTTCAGTCTCACTCTCTACGTTCGTCCTCGTTATAAAGAGGATTGAACGCTCGTCTTTTTATGAAAGTGGAACTAAGAATGAAAATGTGATTAAAAGAAAGAGTTATGATGTGCGAACGGTATAAGAGATGAAATTATGTTTGTGGATTTTGAACGAGCGTTCTAGGGAGGAACGACTCTTGAATGGAAATTGAGATTTGTAAAGTATGAATGTGGTAAGCTTAGCTGGCGGGTCATCCTGATATTCCGTGAGTGCTCGTTCTCAAGTAGAGAGGAGTATGTCATGTGTGGGAATGGCAGGAGGTCTTAGTCCATAACTGTAACTTGGACAGAATGGACTAACCTCAGGTGGCAGCTGACGAGTATTCTAGTTATCCCACCTGGGTGCATGGACGTCGTAGCTACACAGAATTCATACAGTCCGGACGGTCAGTCTAGTATCAAGAATTTGACTGAGTTAACGAATGAATTGAACGTATGTGTTGTAACTTATTTGATGTGTTTGATATGTATGAAATGTATGTTTTACTTGAATTAAATTCAATAAGCTTACCCTTCGTTTTCCATTGTGTTGTCTGTATATGTGTATCCGTCTTGTCCTTGCAATGATCATCCGTGTGGATGTGAGCAGAGGTAGATGCATCTCTGGAGGAAACGCTTGGAGAGGAAATCATTGCTGAAGATAATTTGGTAGATGTTGAAGTGAAGGCCGAACAGTAGTACGTTCGGTTATTTACTAGTTTAGTTAGAATAGCGGGCCATTCTAGAGCGTGCGCCTTTTTACTTTAAGTAAATATTTGGACGTTCGGTATTTTTTTTATTTTGTAAACCGTTCGTTCTTAAATTTTAGTGAACGCTCGTACATTTATTGGTATTTATGTAAGGCCGTTCGGCCATATGCGAACCTTATCTCTTTAAGTGTAAAACTGTTTTGTCATATTAATACATGTGATTATTCTATTATATAGTTGTTGACTGTATAATTTTGGGATGTTACATTATTGGTATCAGAGCAGTTTTGTTCTATTAAAGGACACTGTAGGTTATGGGTGCACTGTGTTTTTGCTGTGTGCTTAATATGTGTTTAATGAGTTAATTTTTTTCAACTCTTTGAACATGACTAACGCTCGTTTTTCTCTGTTCCAGAGAACAAATGGCTCCTAGACTCCCTCCTCCTCCACAACCCAATGAATCTGATACGTCCAACAACACCAGGTTGTTGGAATCTGTAATTGATAGACTGCAGCAACAGAATATCACGTTAATGGAGCAGAACGCCACTCTGATGCAGCAAAATCAGAACGCTATGCAGAGTATGGAGGCCGCTCGCGCCAACTCTGAAGCGACTCAGAGGCAGTTAATGGATATTCTTGCTGCTACCAGAGGCACGCCAGGAGCGTCCTCTTCCACCGCTACACCACATGCTGAATGGAGTTTGGAAAGTTTCCTCCAACACCATCCTGCAAAATTCAGTGGAAAATGCCTTCCTGATGAGGCAGATCAATGGCTGCGTGACATGGAGAGGATTTATAATGCAAAGAGGTGTCCGGATGAAAATCGTTTGGCTTTTACAGAATATCTTCTAACTGGAGAAGTGAGCCACTGGTGGGCGAGCGTGAAGGCTATACTGACGGACGCTCACAGTCCTATTACTTGGGAAGTTTTCAGAAGCAAATTCTATGAGGAGTACTTCCCGGATAGCGTTCGTTTTGCTAAGGAAGTGGAATTTTTACAACTGGTGCAAGGGGGAATGTCAGTTTCGGAATATACAAAGTATTCCAGCTGACGAGTATCCCACCTGGGTGCATGGACGTCGTAGCTACACAGAATTCATACAGTCCGGACGGTCAGTCTAGTATCAGGAATTTGACTAAGTTAACGAATGAATTGAACGTATGTGTTGTAACTTATTTGATGTGTTTGATATGTATGAAATGTATGTTTTACTTGAATTAAATTCAATAAGCTTACCCTTCGTTTTCCATTGTGTTGTCTGTATATGTGTATCCGTCTTGTCCTTGCAATGATCATCCGTGTGGATGTGAGCAGAGGTAGATGCATCTCTGGAGGAAACGCTTGGAGAGGAAATCATTGCTGAAGATAATTTGGTAGATGTTGAAGTGAAGGCCGAACAGTAGTACGTTCGGTTATTTACTAGTTTAGTTAGAATAGCGGGCCATTCTAGAGCGTGCGCCTTTTTACTTTAAGTAAATATTTGGACGTTCGGTATTTTTTTTATTTTGTAAACCGTTCGTTCTTAAATTTTAGTGAACGCTCGTACATTTATTGGTATTTATGTAAGGCCGTTCGGCCATATGCGAACCTTATCTCTTTAAGTGTAAAACTGTTTTGTCATATTAATACATGTGATTATTCTATTATATAGTTGTTGACTGTATAATTTTGGGATGTTACATTATTGGTATCAGAGCAGTTTTGTTCTATTAAAGGACACTGTAGGTTATGGGTGCACTGTGTTTTTGCTGTGTGCTTAATATGTGTTTAATGAGTTAATTTTTTTCAACTCTTTGAACATGACTAACGCTCGTTTTTCTCTGTTCCAGAGAACAAATGGCTCCTAGACTCCCTCCTCCTCCACAACCCAATGAATCTGATACGTCCAACAACACCAGGTTGTTGGAATCTGTAATTGATAGACTGCAGCAACAGAATATCACGTTAATGGAGCAGAACGCCACTCTGATGCAGCAAAATCAGAACGCTATGCAGAGTATGGAGGCCGCTCGCGCCAACTCTGAAGCGACTCAGAGGCAGTTAATGGATATTCTTGCTGCTACCAGAGGCACGCCAGGAGCGTCCTCTTCCACCGCTACACCACATGCTGAATGGAGTTTGGAAAGTTTCCTCCAACACCATCCTGCAAAATTCAGTGGAAAATGCCTTCCTGATGAGGCAGATCAATGGCTGCGTGACATGGAGAGGATTTATAATGCAAAGAGGTGTCCGGATGAAAATCGTTTGGCTTTTACAGAATATCTTCTAACTGGAGAAGTGAGCCACTGGTGGGCGAGCGTGAAGGCTATACTGACGGACGCTCACAGTCCTATTACTTGGGAAGTTTTCAGAAGCAAATTCTATGAGGAGTACTTCCCGGATAGCGTTCGTTTTGCTAAGGAAGTGGAATTTTTACAACTGGTGCAAGGGGGAATGTCAGTTTCGGAATATACAAAGTATTCCAGCTGACGAGTATCCCACCTGGGTGCATGGACGTCGTAGCTACACAGAATTCATACAGTCCGGACGGTCAGTCTAGTATCAGGAATTTGACTAAGTTAACGAATGAATTGAACGTATGTGTTGTAACTTATTTGATGTGTTTGATATGTATGAAATGTATGTTTTACTTGAATTAAATTCAATAAGCTTACCCTTCGTTTTCCATTGTGTTGTCTGTATATGTGTATCCGTCTTGTCCTTGCAATGATCATCCGTGTGGATGTGAGCAGAGGTAGATGCATCTCTGGAGGAAACGCTTGGAGAGGAAATCATTGCTGAAGATAATTTGGTAGATGTTGAAGTGAAGGCCGAACAGTAGTACGTTCGGTTATTTACTAGTTTAGTTAGAATAGCGGGCCATTCTAGAGCGTGCGCCTTTTTACTTTAAGTAAATATTTGGACGTTCGGTATTTTTTTTATTTTGTAAACCGTTCGTTCTTAAATTTTAGTGAACGCTCGTACATTTATTGGTATTTATGTAAGGCCGTTCGGCCATATGCGAACCTTATCTCTTTAAGTGTAAAACTGTTTTGTCATATTAATACATGTGATTATTCTATTATATAGTTGCTGACTGTATAATTTTGGGATGTTACATATGTGGTGGGAGATCATGTTAATGGATAATGTGCCATGAAAAATATATCTCGAGAAGAAATTAATTAATTATATGGATAATCAAGTCTACCAAGGTAATTATGGAAATTATAATCAAGGTGAAAGTTTTATCCAAGCATGAGACAAGCTGAATCTTCAAATAGACCATCACATCAACAAAAACAACAACAACCTTCCTTGCATGACATGACATCAAAGCTTGAAGAGACATGTCAACAATTCAATTAAGTTTTCATCTCTAATCACAAAAACACTAAAGCCTTTATCTATAATTTGGAGACTTAAGTGGATCAATTAGCTGAGAAGTTGAAAGAAGTCAAATTTAACAACCAACTCTGAGGGTGTTGGAGGAGAGAGAGGTTGAAAAAGATAGTAAATAGAATGAGAGTGAAGAAATAGTTTGCTTGATTCATGGACATATTTAAACAACTAGAAATCATAATTCTTTTCTGTAAAGTAACAAATATATTTTAAACCTACTTATAAACTATGAATTAGTCTATGAATTAGTCTGTGAGACTTCTAACAATTAAAGCATTCAATTTAAAAGTGAAGGTCATTCACCTTAAATGGGGTTTTCAATTTTCTTTTCCAAAATAACAGTGATTCACCGTAACGTTGTAACAGGATATGCAGTTTTGCGATCTAAACACTTGATTTACCATGCGCAGCGGAAAAAAATTTGTTTTAAGTAACAATCAAGAAATAAAGCTAAACAAACTTACTATCTATGGCACTAGTGAACAACATCAATAATTCTTATCATTTAGAGATTATCTTACAAGAAACCACAAAGCAATTCACATAAGAAGCTCAGACTCATAAACATATAATCACTTATGAAATTCTATAACTCCCAAAGCTGAGAAGACACGACAAACAAGCTGAAAATGAGAAAATCCTGAGAGTTTGGATAAATTATGAAATTCTTTCTCAGTTCTTTCAGTGCCAGCATCCAAAAACATAAGGTTGTCAAAGCCAGTGACCATTTTATCTGCATCTGTTGAGTCAATTGCTTCAGGCATTATCATCTCCATAACAATTACCTTTCCCTTTTCTGGCAAAGCTTTGTAGCAATTCTTTAAAATTTCTACACATTTTTCATCCGACCAATTGTGTAATACTGCCTACAATTATCAACAAACTATGCAAAAGTAAACAGTTTTTCAAGTCACAAATTCAAACTTAAATAAAAATAAAAAAGTTAAGTGAGATATAAAAAGGAATTTATAAACATTAAATTTTAATATTTGATATTAAAAATAGTGTTACATGTTTTATATAAATTTAAACAACTCATATTTTAAAAATTTTAATTTAGATAAACTATTTGAGAAATAGACTAACCTTTAATATTATTGCATCACCTTCTGGAACACTTTCAAACATGTTTCCTTCAACTTGCTTTATCCCTTCACGAGAATTTAATTAATTTCACTCAGCATAAAGTAAATAAACAAATGAAACAATAAATTCCATCTGAAATAGCTAGTTTTATAAGAGTAATATTAAAGCATAATGGAAAAGTAGAGAAAAAGGAAACATATATACCTGAATAAATGGGAGCATTTTGTATAACATGAGGCAAATCAAAATTAATGCCCTTAATAGAAGGATAATTGGAGATTATCATATTAAGATTTTGGCCAATGCCACCACCCACATCAACTAGCAAAGATATTTTATCAAATCCTCTATACATTTCTATAATCTTCTTAATCTCGATTGTGCCAAGATTACTCATTGCTTCATTAAAAATATTACTCAGTGTGGGATCCGAGCATATGCCTTCATAAATAGGCACTCCATGAACCTTCTGGTACAAGCCCTTCTCAAAGTCCAAAAGTGCCTCCTTGTAGTTCAGCCTAATCAAAAAACCAAACACCAATGTAAATAAATTCGGTCAAAATTACCTATCTTTAATATAAGTGTCCTCTAACTAAAAGCATGGAGTAATGGTTTAAATGATTAAAGCTTATGGTTGGACTGAAACTGATAATTTAGTCAATAAATTTCTCAGTTGATGGGTTCACAGAAGTGTGACTATCTAGTTGAATCCTTAGTCAATAAAACTCTATAAATATGATATTAATGATAATTTATTTTCACATTTTGCATTAATTGAGATTTAACTTCAAGGTTCTGACCAATTACGGGCTTGAGTATTAGATGACTTGAGTATTAGATAATCTTTATATGATGTGTTGCTCTTTCCATTACCACCAAATGCTCACTGTATCACTCCATACCTAATTTATCATTGTTATAAAACGGATGTCAACATACGTTTCGCCTTCAATGGATGATGTTGACATCCGTGAACGGATGTTGATATTTGTTTACATATTTTATTTTTTATTTTTTATTTTTTTATTTAAAAAAAGAAAAGAAAACTTCAACAGATGTGCTACATCCGTTAATTTTTCTTCAACGGATGTCGTTTAAAAAAAGAGGTGGGGGTGTAGGATATTTTAAAATATAAAAGATAGTTTTGGAATTTAAAAAAAATGTAGTGGTGCAGGGAGCAATGTGGGGTGGTGTAAGGAGCAACTCTCTTATATGATAGATCCTGATATGTTAACAACTTTTTTTAAGAACTTTTTGATAATGGATCACGTGTCACTGTTTTAAAAAAGTTATAAAAAAAAGTGGTTTAATCCTTTTCGACATCCCTATTTATGTACGAATGTCTCAATTGGGTCCTCGTTTTCTAAAGTGTATCAAAATGGTTCTTAATTTTGAAAATTGATATCAATTGAGTCCTTTCCGTTAAGTTGGCTGGACGGCGTTAAAAAAATTGATGAGTGGATGCTGAGATGACGAACGAACGCTCGTTCACCAGCGAACGAACGCTCGTCCATCAGCGAACGAACGCTCGTCGACCACCGAACAAACGGTCGTCCAGTGTGGAACGAACGGTCGTCCAGCAGTAAGAGGTCGACGAGCGTTCGTTCTCTGGTGGACGAGCGTTCGTTCGCTGGTGGACGAGCGTTCGTTCGCTGGTGGACGAGCGTTCGTTCGCTGGTGGACGAGCGTTCGTTCGCTGGTGGACGAGCGTTCGTTCGTCATCTCAGCATCCACTCATCAATTTTTTTAACGCCGTCCAGCCAACTTAACGGAAAGGACTCAATTGATATCAATTTTCAAAATTAAAGACTATTTTGATACACTTTAAAAAACGAGGACCCAATTGAGACATTCGTACATAAATAGGGATGTCGAAAAGGATTAAACAAAAAAAGTTGTTTAAAGAACATTTTGCTTATATGATAGTGTTTGGAGTGTTGGAAAATTGAAACCGGATAGTAGAAGACGAATACCTGACAGTATAGAGGACAGCCCAAAAAAAATATCTTTACAAGATCTATTTGGTTATTATTTTGAGCTGTGAAATGAATTATTTTTATTTGATGGGTATCAAATGTACAAGTGAGTCATATACTGACCTTAGAAGCTAGGCTTTTTATAAAGTCAGATCAGAGATAAGCTTAATTAGTAAAATGTTAATAACATCCTTCAAAATCTAAATCTATCTTATTCGAGTTCAAGCTGTTACGTCAAGTTAATTTTGTAAACTTCAACTACACATAAACTCAATAAGAGGAACTTTTCAGCTGAAAAATTACTACATTACGAAAACAAGAATAGGAATGCATTACGTTATAAGACTCTTTGATACGTTGGATAATTTTTATAATAATTTTTTTTCAATACACCATCTATCATTATTTTATTGGTTTATTTAAATTTATTTCTAAAAAAATATTTAAAACAATCACAAACTACTGCATATATGTAGTAAAAGAATTATTAAAAAAAATTGTTATAAAAACATTTTCTCAGATTATATTGCGCAACTGCAATACTTACAAGACATGGACGATGGAAGGGTGACTAAGAAAAGTTGATAGGGGAGCCAGAGAGCCCTTGCTGTGATCTTTGACGAAGTAGTGACCAACATGAGAAAGATGGTATAACCTCTGAGGTTCACCATTTTCGTTTGTGCGAGTTGAACAAGTGAGAAGAGAATGAGTAACAAGCAGAGACAACATGCGATCAATCCTGCGAGCCAATTCTGGGTGCTGTGTTGGAAGTTGAGAGGCAACATCAGACGCTGTCACACCAACTCCTGTTGGAGATGCCTTTGCTATGATCTCAAACAAGTTTAGCTCAATCGATGCATTCAAAACTGCAGAATATATTGAACCAAAGCAATGCTGCATTGCAGAGATGCATGCTTTTTCCTCCTCTGCATAATTCGACTCCATTCTCCACTTTCTTTTCCTCTCTCTCTGCTGACTGCAAAGTTACTGTTCTAACTTTTCCTTTTTCTACGAAAAATATCACTTTTCCTCGGTACTGTTATGTACTGTCATGTCGCTCTTTGGGCTGTTACTTCTGCACCCCATTTTTTTCTTACTACACCTCTCTAATTTATACACCTACGTCACTTGCGTCCTCCTTCTCCAATTCCCTTTTTCCACCAACACTGTTACACATAGTCAACACTTCATTGTTCTTCTTCCTCACCATGTTTTTGCAGTATATATATATATATATATATATATATNACAAGCAGAGACAACATGCGATCAATCCTGCGAGCCAATTCTGGGTGCTGTGTTGGAAGTTGAGAGGCAACATCAGACGCTGTCACACCAACTCCTGTTGGAGATGCCTTTGCTATGATCTCAAACAAGTTTAGCTCAATCGATGCATTCAAAACTGCAGAATATATTGAACCAAAGCAATGCTGCATTGCAGAGATGCATGCTTTTTCCTCCTCTGCATAATTCGACTCCATTCTCCACTTTCTTTTCCTCTCTCTCTGCTGACTGCAAAGTTACTGTTCTAACTTTTCCTTTTTCTACGAAAAATATCACTTTTCCTCGGTACTGTTATGTACTGTCATGTCGCTCTTTGGGCTGTTACTTCTGCACCCCATTTTTTTCTTACTACACCTCTCTAATTTATACACCTACGTCACTTGCGTCCTCCTTCTCCAATTCCCTTTTTCCACCAACACTGTTACACATAGTCAACACTTCATTGTTCTTCTTCCTCACCATGTTTTTGCAGTATATATATATATATATATATATATATATATATATACTCTTGTTATCAATATCAAAGTAAAAAAGAAATTGTTTCTCCTGTTGTTTTACCCTGGTTAGTAAAATTTTTAAGGGAATTGGGCTTGGTCAATTCGATTCATTTTTCTAATTGGAACACCACGTCGATCTTGTATTGAGCCAATAATGCTAATTAAACCTTCATAATTTTTCATTAATTATTCCATTTACAATTTATTAATAAATAATTTTGTAAAATTAAAATTTTTATCTTTCACTTGATGTAGTTGTGTTTTGTTCACACTTTAATTCATCTTTTTCATATTTTTAAATTATTATTTTCACATAAATAAAGTTGAACATTTTAAGTTACCAAATTTCACCAATAAGGAAAATAAACTAAAACATAGAATTTTTATAATTAATATTTATTTATTTTTGTATAATGTACAGTAAAGCAAGGCGTATTATATATATGATAACTACCCTAATCGATTAAAAACTTATTATATTTGTCATTAAAATGGAAGGTATAAAATTGGTCTAATTTTATAATTTAAAAATGATTCATACAATATAAAGTTTTGGTAATAATAAATATAAATAAACATTGAATTATTTATACATATAAAATATAAAGCTCAAAATTGATTGCGTTACTTGTTTCCTTATCAATGCTAACCAATTGTTCAAAATAGTGTCTAAAACACTAATTTTATATCAATACTAATTATACACACATACATATAACTTTTTTTCTTGTTTATGTATGAAAAGAAACAATATAGATAAACATATTATCATTTATATGTTACAAAATAATCTTAATTAAAATTGTTAAAATTTTATATATATATAAAATAATCTTAATTAAAAATATATTTTCAAAGAATCTTGGTTATAAAAGGCTCTAGTTATTAATAGATTAAGTTGAAAAAGCAGTTCAGAAAAAAGACTTCTATGACATCAAAAGATGATACGTGTCTAAATATCAACATTTAATTATCAGTACACAAATAATGGACTAGTAAAATAGCACGTGCACAAGGAACTTGTGGATGTGTATAGTTTTCGAACTATATTATAAAAAAAAATTAATATAGGTTAAAATTAGTTTATATATAAATTAAAACAAAATTTAGAAAATTTACATAAAAATTTGATATAAATTAATAAAGTTAATCTATTTATTTATTTATTTTTAAATTGATTTAAGAGAAGTTGATAAAAAAATATTCATAAATTAAAATCATATACTAGACGCCGGTCAAACGAAGTTTATATATAATGCTACTCATTCTTCTTTTCTTCTTAAAAAAAATTCAAACTTTGACACTCTCAACGAGTATTATTCATTGTAATATTTTTGAAAAACGTGGAGTTTTCACAAACCTTAAAAAGTATGAGGATTCGTATCATAATGTCGTTGGCATCTTATAATGGTATTCTTTGTGAGCATTGGTTCAAAGACAAATATCTTAAAATAATATTAAATATTATTTAATAAACATTTGTTTAATTTATTAGAATAGTATACACAAGATTTTTCTTTTATCTCTGTCTTTGTGTGTATAGTATAAATACATGCTACATTCCATTAAACCATCACACACTGCAATAAATACATCCTTTGAAACTAAAATGGCTTACTTTAAGAAGCTTATCTTAAACATGGTTATTATATTTCTGCTACTCTTATCATTGAATCTGACAGCAGCAAGGGTGCCCTTTTGGATGTCCCAACACAAACCATGTAAGTAACATTTAATCTTTTGAAATTGAACCAGTTAATGTTTCTGATTCAAGTTTTAACTATTTTTGTCTTCTCTCTCCAAAGTTCTTTTGTTTTGTTTTAGTTTAAAATTATTTGTAATTAGTATAATAATTTTGATTACTGATGAGTAAGTTCTAATATTTTGTTTTGGGAACCATTAAGATGGACGCCTTCTGAGAGCAGATGATCCACGAGACCATAATTATTATGTTCATCATCCATGAGAAGTCAGAGAGTACAATATTGGGTTTGAAGGAAAACTTTGCATATATTTTATAAAAACTGAATTTGATATTAAGATATTATTAGTATAGATTTTTTGGGAATTGAATTTGATTGTAATAGTTACGAATTTGTATTTGTATTTGACATAGTTATGTTTTATTTCATGTGATATTGTACTTGTAATCACACTATTAACAAAATGGTTTAATATAGATTATTTTTAATATTTTTTTTTTTTTTAGGAATTAGACTGTCTGCAATAGATGATAAACACTTGAGTTTCTAAAACTTTTAATAGAAAACCTTTGAAAAACAATAGCAAAAGACACACTTTTTTTATACTAGTTTGATCTAAATTAAGATACGTCTAGTCTTTCGTTAAATTCTTTTAAGGGATTCCACTAATCACGAATGATTGTAAACGAGTTTAATCACTTATGATTTACAACTAACCTACTGATTAGATGAGTATAACCACTCTTAATATCACTAGTTTATCGACTAGATGGTCTAATTCCATTAAATTAACCTTACAAGTGTTTTACTTTATTTCTGAATATAAATACAAAGTGTTTTAAAAGATTATAAAAACATAATAGTTAACTCTCTTTTAGAGGATTTGAAGTCAATACAATGACAGTGTGAACATATTGCGATAATATATATTGTTGCATGTCATCAAGAAAAAAAGAAAACTATCTATATCTTGTGATTTAAATATGGACATGTGTTAGTTTTCTAAATTAAGATAACATGGCACATGATAATCTATTATTTTCATTATGCAATCCATAGAGCTGATAAAAAAATTATCCATAAGAAAATGTTTATTGGAAATAATAATTTGAGAAGGGTTATACTTTGGTTTTGCGATCCACTATAAAAAAATGAGCGTTTATATTTTTTGATCAAAGTATTTTATCACCATGGTATATTTACTCCTATGTATCTATATTTTATAATTTATTTTAATATATATTATTATTTTTAATTATTCTTATTGAATTTGATAGAATGTTGGTATAACACTAAATAAATGAACAAGTTATTGTTTCTACTTATGTTGAAATAATATTATTCATGTTAATAATTTTATTTTGAAATATAATTTATTGATATAATATTGTTAAGGTTAATCACTTATTAAATATATTTAAATTATTAATTTTTGAGGTATCGAGTGTCCCAAAATAAAATTTTCGTTGAAGGTTAAGGAGAAGAAAGGTTTTAAAATTTGCTTTTTTCTTACAAATGATGCTAACATTTTCAACTGAAGTACTGGTGAGATAATATTGATAAGATGAATAAATATATTTGGAATTGTCTACGTTGAAGTTTGAAATTCTTGGTTTTATAAGATAATAAAATTTAAAATAATAAATATATTAGAATAGTATGCAGAAGATTTTTCTTTTATCTCTGTCTTTGTGTGTATAGTATAAATATTACATGCTACATTCCATTGAAACTTAAATGGCTTACTTTAAGAAGCTTATCTTAAACATAGTTATCATATTTCTGCTACTCTTATCGTTGAATCTGACAACAGCAAGGGTGCCCCTTTGGATGTCTCAATCTCATCAGAAACCATGTAAGTAACATTTAATCTTTTGAAATTGAACCAGTTAATGTTTCTGATTCAAGTTTTAACTATTTCTTTCTTCTCTCTCCAAAGTTCTTTTATTTTGTTTTAGTTTAAAATTATGATTAATTAGTATAATAATTTTGATTAGCAATATTTTGTTTTGGGAAACCATTAAGATGGACGGCTCCTTGAGAAAGCAGATGATCCACACGGCCATAATTATTATCTTTATACGCCTCCTCCTCAGAGAAGAAGATCCACAACACCATAATTATTATGCTCATCATCCATGGTTTGAAGGAAAACTTGCAGTGCAGAAGCATATAGATATAACTGCTTATATATGTATTGTAAATAATTTATTTATAACAAATAATTTTTATATATATCTGTATTACTTGATTAAGACTTCTATGACACCAAACTTTGAAGAGAATACGTGTGTCTAAATTTCAACCACGGATATGTCTTATTGAATTTGTGGTTCGCATTTGCATATGAACATTTTCCAACAACATTTTCTTATGAGTACACAAATAATGGATTGTTTCAGCTATATTATAAAAATAGAAAGGTTAATAGAGGTTAAAAATATAGTTTACATATAAATGAAAATAAAATTATGGAAAATTTAAATAAAAAACTTTATATGGATTATAAGCTTATTTATTTATTTATTTATTTTTAAGTGAGTCTAAGAGAAGTTGATAAATAAAAAAAACTAAAAACATATTACTATAGTCAAACGAAGTTTATATATAATATCACTAATATTTCCCTTCTTCCTTAAAAATCCGACTCGAGAATCTCAACTAGTATTATTTATTGTTATATTTATGAAAAATGGAGTTTAGGAACAACTAAAAATACGAGGAATATTCATGCAGTCGGTATTTGTTATTATGGGTGAGCATTTGTTCAAAGTCAAATATGTAGCGATTTCT